GCTCACAGCTGTAGCTCCATCCTCCAGGCAGGGCTGACAAGCTTCCTGTGAAGGGTCAGACAGTAACTATTCTCGTCTTTGTAGGTGATGTGGTCTCTGTCGCGACCCCTCCACTCTGCCATAGGCAGCAGGCTGACACGTGGGTGGGGCTGGGCTCTCGTACAACTTGACCTGCGCCAACAGGCAGCAGGGCCCGTGGGCTACAGGTGGCCACCCGTGTCTGCATGTGCAGTGGGTACATACATGTGCATCAGGCACCCAATCTGCCTGCCCGCCCACAGCCACAGTGGCTTCTGGGACGTGAGAGCAGGGCTTGCAGTTCAATGCTCTGTGGTCGACGTCCTGAGCGTCTTAGCACTTTCGATGGAATCGGGTTTCTAGGAGAATCTCATGAACAATGTACCCGGCTCTGTGCGCTCTGGTTCCTTCACCATCTCGCCCCAGCCCGGGGAAGTTCTCAGACCCTGTGCCCTCAGCTTCCTCTCTGGGCCCCGCCCTGTGACCTGCTGTCCTCCCCCAGGGCGTGTGCTCTGCTGCTGTCCCTGTCCCTTCCCCTGGCAGGAGCCTGGAGGTGAGGCGGGACGGTTGGGTTGAGTGTGTACATGCCTGGCATCTCAGGGCAGGACATGGAGGTGACCATCCTGCCTGCGGTGGCTGCACCACAGGGCACTTGGGGACTCAGTGGGCGGAGCGCCTGGTCCCTGAGATCCAGGTACCAAGTGTGTCCTCATTGGAGGTTGCAATCGCTAGGGGTCGTGCGTCTGACCCCCTGGGGATGGAAGGATGACTCCCTCTGCCCCCACAGGGGGCTTATGCAGGTCCTCGGCTGCTGGCGGGGAGCACCCAGAAGCCATGGCGCATGTGCAGGCCGAGTCACGGGAAGTGAGTGTGGCCTGCACCCCCTCACCCTCCCGAGCATCCCTGGGCGGGGGGGGACCACGACCCTGAAGAGCAAACAGGAAACACCATGGCAGGTCAGGTGAGAGGGAGACCGCAGAAGAAAGAAAAGGTTGGATCTTTTTGCACCTGGAACCTCACTCTTCTCCTGGATCAAAGCTTAGGGGCTACAAAGAATCATCTTCTGAGATTCACCTACCAAGATGGATGGTGACTAAGAAAATTCCACTCAGTTCAGAGTCAGCGACCTTGCCACGCCGGGGAGTAGGGGGCTTCCTGAGGCTGCCTCGATCTCAAGTGTAAGGCTCTGAAATCCCCGTCAGGACACGGGGAGGGGCTATTGCATGGCAGCCAGTCCCCTAAAATAGTTTCCCACCGACCTGATTCATATTTCTTTCAAATGATGTCGCCTTATAAATAGAGAGCACAATCCAATTATTGTGCATGAAGTTTAATGAAACAATAGACAAAGAAAGTTGAATATTTGTAATATTTCCTTTTCTTTCCTATTAAAGAAGGTAATACTATAATATTCTAACATCCCTACTGCCCTGATTTGGATAAACCAACTGTAAAACCAATATTGTTGAGTTGGTGAAAGACAGTTGAATATGGGTTGGGCATTAGATAATATGACAGAATTACTGTTAATATTCTTAGGTGTGAAAATGACCTAGTGATAATGAACACGAGTATTTCTTGGATGTACACAGAAGTGCTGATGGGTGAATAGGACGGAGATCTGTCTTAAATACTTCACCAAAAGAAGAACTGGAGGAAGAGGACAACAAGAGAAAGAGGAAGACAGAGAAGACGGGAAGACAAGGCTGGTGAGAATGAAGACAGAGGAAGGAGAGAAAAGAAGGGAGATAGAGGAAAAGGACTGGCAAAACGACGATGCTGCGAAAATGAGGGAATTCATTATAATATTCTCTTCATCCCCATATGTGTTTTTAAATTCCCCTAAGGGTGTGTGTGTGTCTGTGTGTGTGTGCACGCTTATAGCCTACAAAAAGTTTCTAATAAAAATAAAGATGCAGATTTTGCATTGTCTTCCTTACCAAATGTCATTTTTTTTTCTAATTTTTTTATGTGCAAGCAGCATCCTGTGAGGCTGACAGGAGCTCTCTGAGCAGAGGAGTACAAAGGAGTTGATGGAAAGGAGAATCCACCGTGGATTCCTGACACAATATCCATTTTACAAAGGAGCGAGTGTGAGGAAGACACGGCCATTGTTACCCTCCTAACCTTTCTCCCTGATTATGCCGCCGCCAGGGCTCGGGTAACAGGGAGAATGACTTGGTGGCCGACCGTTGGCCTTGGTTTGTGTACATCAAAAAGCCCTTGTTCTCACCACATTCCAATCTCAGTTTCCCACCTCCTTGAGAAATGCACCAAGTGGTCAGATGAACACAAATCTGTGTTATGAGATGTGAATACGATGACTCTACTGCCAGGAACAGCCTGTCCGTGCACCGAGAGAGCCATCGTGTTACCCTGAACGGCACAACGTGTAACACCTACAAAGTTAAACACACTTCCTATCATTCGAGGTATTTCAGGTCGACGCTCCGCAGGCCCAGCTGCTGAAAGTTAAATGTAAATTTCTCTCCCGAGGGCAGATGGTGGCCAAGCCGAGGAGCGCGTGGGCCTCACAGACAGAAGGTCAGGTCATGGCTGAAAGAGCGAAGAACAATGGCCGCTCGGCTGCCCCAGGTCACCCTGGAACGAGACACCGCCGCTCGCTTCTCTGAAACTGTCTGTTCACACAGAACAGGGACAAGGACTGCCTGTAAGATGTCCTCACAGTCTGTCCAAGGAGCAGCGGTCACAGGGCCATCACACACACCACGTGACGGTCCGGAGGTTTCATTCCCAACTCTCTGATATCCTAAAAATGCACGTCTCTATCTAAAACACTCAAAATCAAGGAGGGGGTGGCAGGGAGAGGTCAGTGGGGGGAAAGGAGACATAGGTAATACTGTAGGCAATACTTTAAACAATAAAGAATTAAACATGAAAAAATAAAACAACAGCCCTGGCCGGCTTGGCTCAGTGGATAGAGCGTCAGCCTGCGGACTGAAGGGTCCCGGTTCAATTCCGGCCAAGGGCACATGCCTGGGTTGCAGGCTCGGTCCCCAGTGGGGGGCATGCAGGAGGCAGCCGATTGGTGATTCTCTCTCACCATTGATGTATCTATCTCTCTCTCCTTCTCCCTTCCTCTCTGAAATCAATAAAGAAATATATTTTTAAAAAATAATAAAACAACACTAAAAATCATTGTAAAACTGTTAGGGTTTCATATCTACCAGGAGCTGTTTACAAATGAAAACTGCTCCCTTTAAAATCCTGCACCTTTAGCCTCCGCACCATCGCCGGTTCATTGCGATGAGACGTGAGAAATAACACCAAAAGACTAATACGGCAAAGACTCATTCACATGCTTTTCATTTACAAGTGATATCATAATGTTATTGTTCCTACAGTGTTTTTTTCTCTCCAGAAGATTATAATGTAATTCTAAATAACTCAGAAACTCTTCTTTGCTAGATTTTTCCACTTAGCCCAACACGTTGTGCTGGCAGATGCTGTAGAATAACACAAAAGGTACAGAATAGTGCCAGTGAGTATGCAGACAGGATACTTTTTAAAAAGTCCTAATACATCAGCGAAGGGAAGCTCCCTGTCAGGTCTGGTAGTTCTAACCTTCGGTCCCTGATAAAAAGGACTGTCAATTCCGTTACCAGGCACGCCCCCAACTGGGTGGAATAAAATAGTCCCATTATTTGTACACGTTAATCCTGAAGATTCTTCTGAACACTGAGAACTCTGTAACGCTTTGACTACAGTGCGACCAAAGCAGAATTTGCTTTTATTTGTTTAGATTTTCGTCTAGTGCCAGGGATTGCCATTTTGACTTGACAAACTTTTTATCCTAAGTGTCATTATTACTTTCATTTTCAATATGTTGCCTAATTGTGTTTGTGTCCTAGAGATTCGATCGGTTGAAAGGGAAAATATGCTGGTGAATATGACAAAAAGCTCTGAACTGGGAACATGTTTGTTTGTTTTTCATTCACTTAGGGCTGCCTACTTTTCCATTGCAGCAATGTCTTTAAAATATTGATACTAAGACCTCAGTCTTATTTTAATTGAATGGATTTATCATACTGCTTTCTTTGAATGAAAAGAATTAAAGCCTTCAGTGTTCTGTATTGTAACATAAAAACAGAAAACCCAAGTCAGCCTGTTAGAACGGCCTCCCTCCACTTTTTGTCCACTTTGTCGATTAAAATTGGGGTATCTATATGATCTCAACAAAATATAACATAAAAAACATCTGTGCAAACTGAAATTGAATAAGCAGAATTCTTTGAACATTTCTAATTTCGCTGTTTTTAGGCATCCTGAGCAAACGTATTCATGGTTATCTTAGTTAAAACTGGGTTTACTCTGCCAACAATCAATTTGATTGACATATTTACATATCAACTCATCTCATCTTACAAATTTTAAACTTTTTCACTTAAAATTGGATTCAAGTTGGCATCTTTCGAGAACTTTATGTTCGTATATTTTAGGTTCAAACTGCGCATTAGAACATTTTTCTTAACTTTTGTAAGTAATAGATCCACATATCCAAATGTATATTTATGACCTGTCAGAATGGAAATTTATATGCAGGCAGTTGTATCCTCACTACTTCGTGTGAAAGGTGATAATTTTAGGCAACTAAAACTGAAATTCTTTTAATGAACTAAATCGTTCTATTAGAAACAATATAATAGAAATGAATGACTCAGGAATAAAACCACATCAGCTTCAGATAGAGCAGTGGTTCTCAACCTTCCTAATGCCACGACCCTTTAATACAGTTCCTCATGTTGTGGTGACCCCCAATTTCATTGTTACAAATTGAACATAATTAAAGCATAGTGACTAATCACAAAAACAATATATAATTATATATGTGTTTTCCGATGGTCTTAGGCGACCCCTGTGAAAGGGTCGTTCGACCCCCAAAGGGTCGCGACCCACAGGTTGAGAACCGCTGAGATAGAGCATGAATGTCCTCATTGCTGCTCACTTGTGCCATTGCTTACCTGGTCTTTCATGTCAAGATCCCTTTTAGCTTTGGCTCTGTACTCTCTGTGCTCCTTTTCGGCCTCATCCTTCTCCATTTTGATTTTATTCAATTGATAGCGCATTTCCCCACACACCTGTTAGATTATAAAAACTAGATCAATAGCTGCTGGAATCTACCAGCCAATGCCTGCAATTAGATCTTTTGGTGCCCCCTAGAGGGCATGTAAATAAAAAACACCACAACTTTTCTAAGAATGGCACTTTTCCTATTAGAATATTCAATATAATATTCTGTTAAGATGTGGAGGCAACAGCAGGTATTGCTGAATATAACAATTTCAAACTACAGATAAAGAAATGCACACTAAGGAATTTAAGTAATGTGTCCGTGATTTCTTATGTAAAATCATAGTTTCAATTGCATATTACCATCCAAAATGCACTGTCATCTCAATTTTAAGTAGGTAAAATTATTAATGAAAATATTAAGCTATGATATTATTCATTTAAATTTTTATGATTAAATGGACACTCTGTATTATAAAACCTTCCTTTAAAGACTTTAGAGGTAGGCTTTTATCTTAGAAAATTTATAAAGAAATTTTTGTCTCTGCTATTAGACTATATTATTGATAGTTAGGTGTAGTAGCCCGTATTAACTGTAAGCTTTTTAGACAATGCCAATCTTATCATGCACAACACAGTATTTAAATTAAGAAAGATTGCCTGGTAAGGTCATGGGCTGGAACTAAGCACATTCTGCATTTGTAACTGTAGATTTAGCATAAAAGGAAAGTGTACATTTAAGGGAAATAATTCTAATGTATCATTAAATAATGAACACACATAGTATCTTAAAAGTGTCTTTCCTACAGTTTTGTTATCAATCTGTCATCTCTACAGACATGACTATATTTGGAAAATTCAATTAGCAGATAAATCTATGTAAAGAAATGATAAGCCTCTGGGAGAACTGAAAACCTGTAGAGAGATGGATGAATACACGATTCTGCTCAGTCAGCCCCTAATGGACAAAGACGAGTTTTAAAAATCATGTGTCCTGCAATGGTTATACTTGTCTGAAACCTTTTCAAATTTGGTACCATATATATTGAGGTACTAGAATCTTAGAAAACCTGTATGCATTTCCTATGTTCAAATAAAACATATTTTAAAAAATAAACTAATCTTGTTCCAAAGTTATAGTGACAAGACAGAAAAAAAGCCAATAAGCTTTCCCCCAGTGGCCCTCATAAGCTAGAAAAAGAATAAAATTACTGAAGATTCTATTTGAAATTCAAATGCTTTCAATGTGTGAGTTGATCTTTCCCATTTCAAAAAAATAAAGGCATTACTTTTAAAGCTAAATAACGTTTAAAAATTAAGAGTGACAGAAAAAAATAGAGAGTCCCTAATTTACTTTCTTTCTTAGTTCTTCACTGTTTCAATCGATTTGATTTACATACACGAATGAAATGAAAATATCCAACTTGATAATACCAGAAAATAATAATTATACAATTATACAATCACGGTGTTTAAAACCCAACACCAACACAAAATTATTATATGTAACAAATATCTAAACATGGGGTCTTATTGAAAATTATTTTATCCCTTCATTTTCTTTTAAAGTTCCCTTGCCTTACTACTTTCAGTTTAGCATTTGCTAAGTTTATCCATAACATTTAAATTCTATCTAAAATAAATCGACAAACTAAATTGGACCCGAATTATGTTATCTTGAGGTTGGAAGCAATCTCAAGGCACTCCTCTGATGCCTGAGTCCCTTTGGACAATTATAAGGACAGATTATGCTCATTCTTGACTGTACATATTTCAACAGAAAGTTCTTTGCCTACGATGAACTGAAAACTCCTGCCATAGCTTTCATTTACAAATCTGGGTTAACCATTTCCATGCCTCTGCATCAGTTCTCCTACTTCTACCCCTCTCTTCACACAAACACATCTATTATGTGGGTAAATATGATATTTTTAAACATCTACATTTGCTAGCTTGATTAAAGTCAAGGAAGAAAAAGAAAAATTAGGCTCCCTTTCCTAATGTAAAGTTCACTTGAAAGTTCATTTTAATTACTAAATTATAAAGCAACAATGGGATACAATAGGTCAAAATTTAGGAAAATACGTTGAGAAATAAAATTCAATATCAAAAGGGTATGCATTTTAAAATAATTTGTGAGTGTCATGGTCAAAAAGAATTCATTTAACTTATTACATCATGCATGCCATTGTTTAGTTTCTTAGTGTTAAAGCAATTGATCACTGAAATCTACATGGACTTCTAGTGTTTCTTAAATACATACCTTATATTAGCCAGTTAGGACTATTAAATATTTTAGGTCTAGGTTCACCAGTTTGTGATACCCATACAGCAAAAAAATATGACTTTTAAAGTATAAATTTAAAGACCAATAAAATAATTAGCTGTAGTAGTAGAACCTTGATTTTAGAGACCAAGTCTGAAAAAGAGACCAAGTCTGCAAATTTCATGTTAAGCACATGCCTCATGTTGTAAATATATGTCTTTTGGTGTTATTATGAAGATCAGATGATCAAACCTATGCTATCTCTGGCAAAAATTACCCCTAATTAGCAAATTTTAAAAAAAAAAACAAGTTTTATCAAATATTCCATATTAAATAAAGCTTGCTTATTTACAAGTCTGTCTAGCCACTGGCCTCTTAAGCTCTTTGAGAATATTATATTGTCTAATGCATCTTTGTACAGTGTTTGCAGCAACCAGCCAATAGGAAGTACTGTACATGTTTGCTGAGTGACAATTAAGTGGACTTTTATTATATTGAAATTAAAAAACTTTTCTGCTCCAAACTTCTTTCTGAGCTTTGTACATTAGGACAAAAAGTTTCAAGGAAAATATTTAATAATTATTGAGCTAACATGTGTCTTTGTACCTTTGTGGCTTCCATTTCCCGGGAAGCAAGCTGGTTTTGAGTTTCTTCTAGTTGGTTCACAGCTGAAACCTTCTCCCTTGTAGCCTTTTCCACCTGGGCCTCCAGGTGGGCAATGTTCTGAGACAGAGCCAACATCTGAAAGAGGAAGTCCAAGTCCTAAGTGATAATGTCATTTGGCAACTAAATATTAAAAATACATTGAGTTCATAGAGTCTCAGCCACTGAGCTCTCTCAAAGTCCTTTCTCTGTGGATTGGGTATGTCCATTTCTTTGCCTCTTCAACTCATCTATCCCCCATGACTTAAGTATGTACCTCCCTGGTCTCTATCATCATTTTGGAAAACATGTAACACGATGATCAAATCAAAGCGTTGGTTGAAACTCTGTGGTGACTGACGGCAGACACCTAAGCTATGGGAGGGATGGACATGACTGCATTTCAGAGGAGGTGCCAGGGAATCAGAGAGCTCTCGAACCCTTCTCCCACACACAGGGCAGAGAGGGCTGATGACTGGGAGAGCTGGAGGGGCAGGCACTTCAGAGAGAGCTCCTGGTGGCCTATGAAATGCAGTCCCTCCCCCAAAGCCACCGGAGAGGAGGCTCTCTGAGGTCCCCCAGCCTTCCCATGACCTCCTGGCCCATCCCTCCCGTGGGAGTCCCCTCAGCCACATCTCTTCTCCTCCAGGAGGCTCTTCTGGCCCCCAGCTCCCAGCTCAAACGGAAGCGTCTTCATATACTCAGGGTGGCTCTTCAGGGAACCTGCACTGGGTGGCCCTGCCTGCTGTTTGCAGCCGCCACCCATTGTCATTGGCTGCTGTCCATGCGGTCCTGGTGCTGGAGTATTTCCACTGTCACTCGGGCACCTACAACCACCTCTGTCCACCTCTGTGGCACCCAGCCTCCGCGTCCCCGGCACAGCACTTCTCAAGCTGTTTTCAGTGTCTGTTTCCTCACAGAACTTCTAGGAGCCTCAAGGGCACGCTCCTCGAGAGGCACCAAATGTTTGCTAAATGCACAAATAATTAGAATAAATGGCTTTTCTGCGGGACTCCATGGGTACCAGGGTCTTGGTTTCTCTTCTCAGTGTTAGAACAGCTTTCCGGATCTTAGATTTAACCTTCATAGTTTTATTGTTTGCAATTACATTTTACTCTTCCCCAGTAAGTAACATTTTCTAGGCTCTTAATTTCTTATTTGTATTAGCAGTTTTATTTTATTGCTTTATTTTTATTTTTAGAGAGAGGAAGGGAGAGAGGGAGGCAAGAGAGAGAGAGAGAGAGAGAGAGAGAGAGAGAGAAATCAATTGGTTGCCTTCCATATGTGCCCAACTGGGGATCAAACCCGAAACCCCAGTTTTGTGCCCTGACCAGGAATTGAACCAGCAACCTTTCAATGCCTGGACTGATGTGTAACCAACTGAGCAACACCAGCCGGGCTAGCAGTTTTAACATGAAGAAGCAATGCTGCCTCACCCAGAGCAAAATATAGAGGGCTATCCATCAGTTTCTAAACTGTTAAAACACGGACTGAGAGCAAATTTGAAATAATACCATTTGAATTCTACCAGTGCACAATGATGTGGATGTAAATTCAGTTTTACAATTGAAGTCAGTAACTAAAATTGTGTGAGAAAATCAAGGTTGCCTTTGAAACACATAACTCCAGTTGCCACATATGAAAATAATGAGTCTGGTGGCTATTTTCTAATCGAGACAGTAGTTGCATTAACTTTCCCGGGGATTGTGGACAGTCGTCTATTTGACTTACGGCTGTTTATATGTCCTTCTTATCATCAAAAGATTGGCTACAAATCTGATTTGTACATAAAATTATCTTTACTAACGCCAAGCTACAAACCATCCTTACGCACATTCCAATTCAAACCTAAAGGTCAGAAGAAGCTCAACGCAACAAATCAAAAATACTAATTTAAGTTCCTTAATATAAAAATTCAAGTTCATGAATATCCATATTCTGAGTGTGTCATGATAGCTTCTCTGGAACCACACAGTTACCATACACCAAACTTTAATGACCAGCTACTAGAAATCACATGTGACTTCTGTGGAGATATGTACGGTGAACATATGATCACTGTGTGGTTTCTGAAGTGACTGTTAGACATGTTAGGAGAAGCGCTCGTTGTAAATGCTGAGTCTGTTTGCATGACAAGGCGTGTGGCATATCACACTCCCTCCATCTGACCCCTCCCTCTGCCGCCCCCACTTCTCTCCTCTGCCCGTTACCTGTCTGCTCCCTCCTGTCACCCACCCCCGAGCCTCCCCTCCGAGTCACACCTTCTTCTCCCCACGCCCACCATCTGGAAGCCAGCATGGCTCTGCGGGAGCTTCTCCATCCACATCTGTTGCGGCGCCAGCAGGAACAGGGACAGCTGCGACACTGCCGGTGCCCAGGGCGGCGGATCAGGTAAGTCCTTTCAACTCTGACAGGGGCGAGCCAGAGACAAGGACACCCAGGTTGCGAGAGCCCGGAAAACTCTACAGTGACTCAGCCCCTGGTGTGCGAGCACGGGACGAAGCGGTGCTCCCTACACAAGAGGCACAGGAATGAAGGATTCTAGCAAAGGGTTACTATCCCGGGAACCAGGTAAAGAAATGCATGAACAGTGGGAGCTCAGTACACAGATGACGAATGGCCGACTGGACGCACAAGCCCGAGGGGCTCGGTGCAACCAAAGACCATCACTTAAGACAATAAACACACAGCAAGGGCCTTGTGCGGGAGAATGATTCAAAATTTGTCCGGGCAGAAGGCATCTGCGCACCTAGAGCTGCCCACCCACATGAAACTGTTACATTAAAATAAAGGAGAGAGAAGACAAATAATAGAAAGGAAGGAAGGAAGGAAATCTTAAAGTGCAAGCAAGCGTGCCTTGCTGCTGGAAGGCGGGGAAGCCAGGTCCGGCAGTAACTACAGGACATTTACAACATCGTGATTAACGGTCCATCTCCCTCTCCCATGAACTGCCTGTGCGAGGCAGTAAGATATACATTCTCTCTTGATACCCGGGAGGAAGAATTATATTGGATTAATTTTCAACTGAAAAAGTGAGCTTCAGTAAATTAAGTAATTTGCCCAAGTCCACTCAAGCTAATAACTAAAAAGTAGAGCTAGGCTTTCTATTCAAATCTGCCTGCTTTTACTCACATGAAGACCCAGGAAATCTATCTAATAGGCCACAAGCTAAAATGTATGAAATGTCGACTCGAAGTCAGGTATTGTATTAGGTTCTCTCAAAACATTATCTTACCGAATCCAATCAATTCATTGAGTAGATCAGCTCCATTATTTACCCTTGAAATTGAGAGGGGTCCAATTCTTCACGGTCACAGTCAGGTCAATTTAGATTCAACCCTAAGACTTTTACTCCAACGCCACTTTCTGCCATGTGCTGGTGACAGCACCCACCCCAGCGCTGGGACCACTTGCAGCCTTTACTCCTGCACCTGTACTTAGGGCAGGGCCTACAGATCAAATGACAACCAAGACTCACTGAGGGCAAGACACATGACTCAGCCTCAGAAATACATTGCGTCTCTATTGTCACCGTTATTCATGAAAGAATTGTCAGCATGAGAAAGAGGCTCTGTTACCTGTGGAAGCACCTGGAAGAGTGCCTGGTGCATTTCAGCCCTCCCTTGTCCTTTCTTAGCAGGGACTCTCGTCAAGATATTTTTACACAGTGAACTACTCAGCGAGGCAAAAGCTTCCACTTAACCAGAAAACCAAAATCTCCTACGTGTGAACAGTTGCCGGTCTTTGCAATCGATACCATTGTCTCTCAGCTCACGGTTTTACCTCCCTCCAGGCCTTGGTCATGTCGGTATGGCCAGAATTCCTCCCCATCCTCTGCATTTCTAAATCCCCCCTATTTTTTGAAGCTCAGCTGAGATGCCACCTTCTCCAAGAAGCCTTCCATGATCTCTTGCAGACAGGGATTCTGAGGCTCTGAATTCTCAGCATTTTATTCATACCTTTTCCATGGTATGGAGCCTTTTTGCTGCCTCTTGTATATATTCGTTCATTCAACAAAAATATATGGAGCACATTTTATGTGAGCGGAATGTCCACGCTATGAGGGTATTAAGAGGCCATACCATCAGGGGACTCTTAGTAAACCAGGGGAGACAAACAATTCAACAGGAACTTGCAATAAGTTGAGTTTGGGAGCCTCTGGGAGAGGCTCTAATTCATCCTCGGGAGGCTGTGAGAGGAGGTGGCACCAAGAAGGACTTTGAAGGATCCATTGGAGTGGGCAGAGGAAGATTCCTCCAGGCAGGGGGCAAAGCACAAGCAAGATCCTGAAATAAAAAGATAGTGTGGCCCTAGCCAGTTTGGCTCAGTGGATAGAGCGTCAGCCTGCGGGCTAACGGGTCCCGGGTTCGATTCGGTCAAGTTAACATGCCCGAGTTGTGGGCTCCATCCCTAGTGTGGGGCGTGAAGAAAGCCAATCAACGATTCTCTTTCATCACTCCTATTGCCATCTCTTTCTCCCTCTCCCTTCCTCTCTGAAATCAATAAAAAATATATATTTTTTTAAAAGGAGCATGCAATGCAAGAAAGAAAGGCCAAGGGAGATGAGACTGAAGAGCCAAGGAGGGGAAGGAAAATGGAGAACTTGATGCTGCGCTTGAGGATCCTGAATTTTAGCCAAGGGCTTGCAGGGAGACATAAAGAATGGTAAAGCAAGAGGCAAGAGACTGCCATACTGAGATGTTTATTTTGGAAAAACGGTCCTGGCTGTGGTGTGGAGAGCAGTCAGGAAGAGGTGAGACTGGACGCAAGGGGAGCACTCAGGCTGTAGGAATCACCAGAGGGTGAGCGATGGATTCTAGTGGGTTGGAGAGACAGACAATCTAAAATTCCTAGGGGCCTGACCGGCATGGCTCAGTGGTGGAGTGTTGACCTATGAACCAGGAGGTCACGGTTCAATTCCAGGTCAGGGCACATGGCCAGGTTGCGGGCTCGATCCCCAGGAGGAGGTGTGCAGGAGGCAGCCGATCGATCATTGATGTTTCTCTCTCTCTCTCTCTCCCTCTCCCTTCCTCTCTGAAATCAATAAAAATGTATTAAAAAAGAAAAGAGTGCAGCCTACAAGCCATCGGTGACTCCACCGCACACACTCCTGCCGTGTGGACAGTGAGCCGATGCTGGAGTACCTTGGACCCCATGTCCTCGCGCTCCTTTGTCAGCTCGCTCTTCATCAGCTCTTTGTCGGCGGTCCTCTTCTCCTGCTGAGCGGCCAGCTCCTTCCCTAGGCGCTCCGCCTGCCTCTCCAGCTCACTCCGCAGCTGCTCACACTGGATTAGGGCCTGCGGAATAAGACAGTACATGGGAGCTGGGAATTTGGAAAAATAAGGGGGAAATGAGACAGTTAAGCTTTATTTTTATTTAACACGTTAAGCGCCCAGCCAGTCACCGGTGACTGATACTATACTTTCCATCCGGAAGACAAAACAGGCGGGGCGCTTAATGTGTTAAAATACTTAAAACACACCATAGCCCTCGCCGGTTTGGCTCAGTGGATAGAGGGTCGGCCTGTGGACTGAATGGTTTCAGGTTTGATTCTGGTCAAGGGCACATGCCCAGGTTTCGGGCTTGATCCCAGTAGGGGACGTGCAGGAGGCAGCTGATCAATGATTCTCTCTCATCATTGATGTTTCTATCTCTCCCTTTCTCTCTCTTCCTCTCTGAAATCAATAAATATATTTATTTTAAAAAGACACACTATAAAGTCAACTAGATAATTTGTAACAGTATTCGAGTTACATTTATTTCGATTCGCATGTAGTATCATGTTTATACTACAAGAAATACGCAAGTATCCAATTTAACTGATTTTTCATTTGCTCATGGTTAAAGTTATTTGAATATTTTAAATGTTAAACATAAATTTTTTTTAAAGATGTTGAGCTTATCATTATATACAAGCATCTGTTTTTTTATCATTATACTAGAAGCCTGGTGCACGAAATTCATGCATGGGTAGGGTCCCTGCCTGGCCGGCCATCAGGGCCTTCCTTCATTCCTCGCCGCCCTCTGTTGGTTAGCGCATGTCATAGTGAGCAATCGGTCTTCTGGTCGAACCCCCACAGGGAAATTTGTGTATTAGGCTTTTATATAGATAGATAATAACCCAACTTCTTTAAATATAACTAAGGTCAGATTTGGTTCACTCCCCTTACACCCATAACTATAGTAAGAATTAGATAGTAATCAAAAGTGAAGATAAGGAAAGACCAAAACATCATATTTGTTTTATAAAATGAGAATTGCCATCTTCCATTTCTAGTTACTTAAAAATCCGTAACTGTCCATTAGTTTAAATTTCCCACTCTGCAATTCCAGAAGTAGAAATTCTATAACTTCCTCTTGGTTATATTCATCTTATGTGTATATATAATACTCAATAATAAATGATGACTTCAAAACCCCAATTTTTAAAAATTCCAATAAAATTAGGTTGCTTCACATAGAAAATCAGAGTCATCCTAAGGTGTCTTAGTTTTATTCCAGTGGCTCCTGCTTACAATATCACCTAGTCCATCCTCTATTTCCCCTGAAGATAGAGACCCACGTGTCATGTGACTCACATACTGCGTGGTCATAAATCTCACCGTCACATTTGCTGTGAATGGAGACGAGTGGGTCTCAGTGAGCACCAACTGTAAGTTACACATAGCTCTGCTTCCCTCTGGTGAGCGCTACAATAAATACAGATGATAAATATCTAGGACATGTGAGCTTTCAGTCCTCAGCTGGGAAGTATTAAACTACAATTTCTTCCTGACTCTTCTGGAAGTTCTGTATGCCCAGATGAAGTAGGAGGTTAAAATTAAATTGTCACATATTAGCTGGCAAGTAACCACAGTTACTAAAAAATGACTCTTCCCAGGGAACTAGTCCCAAGTCCAATTCAAGTTGAGAATGTTTATAAAAATTTTTTAAATTAGATTTTAAGAGAAATTTTAAAAGCACATTTTTCTAAAATTTAAGCCCCTGGAACTTGAAATATTATGAATTAGAGACTTTTGTGCTTTAGGCATACAATTTCTCTTGTGAAAGATATTTTATATGAACCTAATACAAATGTTCATAACTTCTGCTAATATAATGAAAGAATAAAAGTACTATTGAACAAAAACTGAGGAGTCAACGTTTTTTAAAAATATATTTTTATTGATTTCGGAGAGGAAAAGAGAAACATCAATGATGAGAATTATTGATCTGCTGCCTCCTGCCCGCCCCCTACTGGGGTTCAAGTCCACAGCCCAGGCCTGTGCCCTGACCAGGAATCGAACCAGTGACCTTTCGGTTCTGGAGTTGACACTCAACTGCTGAGCCACACCCAGCTGGGCCGGGTGTCACCATTTTTAAGTGCAGAAACAGTGGAAGGGGGTGCGGACGATCCAAAGATCAGGCCGACACGAGGAGCGAAAGATCCATTCAGGGAAGCCAATCAGCTGAGGAGCAGGAGTAGGGAAGGATGCTGACAGTGAGCGGCCTGATGCCAAGAGAGGATGCTCTAAAGCAAGAGGACAAGCAAGAAGCTGCGAGCCACCCAAACAAAACCACGGGAGCCTTCGCGTGAGGTTGGCCCTCTGTTCTAGGACTGGCCACCTGTGATGAGACACCAAACCAAAATACTGATTAAACACTGGTTATCGATGGCTCTTGGTGTGTGACCAATGATTCCATATTGCAACATAGCACTGACTTTCCTTTTTTTTAATATTAATATATATGCCAGGTCAAAGTGAAAAAAAATATTAAGGCTTAAAACTATTGGAATTAAGAAATAGGTTTACTCTTTCTCTTACAATGGACATCACCTATGAGAAAGATTTGGTTCTACTAAGTAAATCTTTACAGCCCTGGCCAGTGTGGCTCAGTTGGTTGGGCATTGCCCTGTGCACTGAAAAGTTGCTGGTTAGATTCCCTGTCAGGGCACATGCCCGGGTTGCAGGCACCGTCCCTGGTAGGGGTATGCAGGAGGCAGCTGATCAATGTTTCTCTCTCTCTCCTGACCCCATCTCCTCTCTCTAAAAATCGTTTTTTAAAAAACATTTAAAATTAATTTAAAAATAAATATGTATACAGCATTTCCATTAAAGCTTTTTCTTTTAAACCTAGGGTTCCAGCTCCTAGTTTTCGGGATCCCAGCTGCTTCGGAACGCCCTGATTATACTCATCTAACCATTTGGTGAAGGCATAACCGAATTCTCAAAGGCCAGGCCAGTGAACAGTCAATCACGATGAACTGATAGGTCATCAGAGGGGACTGCGTTAATGTCGGGCCTGCAGACCCCATTTCTCCAGCAGAGGCCAAGGGGTGCCTTCCCCGCCCCCCGAGCACCCGCTGGAAATGGTGGAAATGGCCGCAGGTCTGAGGAGTGGGGACATTGTGCTTCCCCACCCAGTACCCTCAGTCCTCAGGGACCTTCTCTCCTGGGAAATTCCTTTATCTGTGGTCATTCTTGATGTTCCCAGTCCTGGTCTATTAAACCACATTTTCTAAAAGAAATATCTATCTAGTTAACTCCATTTTTATTTATTTATTTTTAAATATATTTTTATTGAGTTCAGAGAGGAAGGGAGAGGGAAAGAGATAGAAACCTCAATGATGAGAGAGAATCATTGGATCAGCTGCCTCCTGCACACCCCACACTGGGGATCGAGCCCACAACCCGGGCATATGCCCTGACCGGAATCGAACCAGGATCTCCTGGTTCACAGGTCGATGCTCAACCACTGAGCCACACTGGCTGGGCAGTTGACTCCATTTTTAAAATAGGAAACCTATTCATATAAAAAAGTCCTTCCCAACTGCCAGGGTCAGGCTCCTAGAAACCCTGTGATAGGATTCATCATTACAGAATTAAAGATCTAATGAAAGATACACTGTTCACACTTATGAATGCAAACTTTAAAACATATGAAAATGTTTTTATTTTTTATGAAATAAAGCCCACAAAATAAAAATGGTTACCAGCGTGTTTTAAGCACTTAACGTATGAATGGCATCAATACTGATATTTCATGTATAAACTCTCGCTTACCAGAAACCAATCAACCAGCCTTATCCTTACCTCCCATGTTCAAGCTACTTATCACTTGTTTTTGTTTTGTGGAAGATAATGTAAGTATCCAGAAGAATTATTTTCGATGCCTGTGACTGCAATCAAATATCCAACGCTTTTGTGATTGTTTTTTTTAAATTCAGGTTTCTCATTCTTGCCTTTCTGGTTCTGCCTTAGTCCAGGAAAAAAAAAATAATTTGGATCCTTAAAAAGGAGGAAAAATAAAAAGGTTTGGGGGTATTTATTCAACCTACTGCGTTGGTATTTTTGAAAAAAAACAATCTTTCTTGGCAAGGCTATGTCATTGATATAGGCTTGGGGTTACGTCATGCCGAAGCCTACCACCTCCCTTCGGAAAGAGGCAGTCCGGTTGCAGCGGGTTAATCACCTTCCTACTGGTAGCTCTCCCGAGGCAGCACTGAAAAGCCTCTGCTTTTTCACCCTCCTTTAGTCCCAGGTTAATTTTTTTGCCTCTTTTAAGATTATCTCCACTATAATGATTTGCAATTTTCAAAGAAAAACAAAAACATTTACTGAGCACTTACTGTGAACCAGGCACTTTGCTAAATGGCTTCTGTGGGCTAATTTCTTTAACGCCCTCACTAAACGTTAAGTGGTTCTTATCATTCAGTTGAAGAAACTGAGGCTTGGAGCCATTAAGTAACTTGTTCAAGATCAAAAACCTAGAGAGTGGCGGGTAAAATCTGATCCAAAGTAGTTCTACAATGGAATCTGTAGGTACAAAATTATGATTTTATCTTTTATAAATCTGTTGTCTTATAAATTTCTCAGGTGTTTTCACTGCCACTAAATGTATATACTGTATACATAAGATTACTTTTTTACTTACTTGCATGCATTGTGCAAAGTCGAACACTAGGTGGCACCAAATATCAAGGAACTACCAGAACAAAGTACCATTTCATAGCTCACTAACAAAGTAGTTGGTTTCAAAATTAAAGTATGTATGTTGGCTCAGTTTTTATTCCCAGAAAGCAAAACTACTAATGTTTTAACATATCTTAGAGAAAAACCAGTAGATTTGCACTGCATTTTGTAAACTGCTTAGAAATCAAACCTTGCATTATTAATAATTCAGCAAAATATGCTATAGAGCCCTAGCCGGTTTGGCTCAGTGGATAGAGCGTTGGCCTGCAGACTAAAGGGTCCCAAGTTTGATTCTGGGCAAGTTCACATGCCCAGGTTGCAGGCTCCATCCCCAGTGTGGGCCG